ATTACTAGTAAAAAAAAAAATATCCGGTATATATACCGCCATTTGTAATCTCTATAACTTTCACGTGAACCAATTAATTTACACGTATTGGGATTTTTTTTTTTTTTTTAGCAAAGACATGGAGCAGAATACATTTTGGCCTAAATTTATGACGAAAATTGTTTTTTTAATTTTTTTTACTAGACATATTTAATAGCAAAAATTCTAAAATATTGTTTTTTTCTCAAACTTTTCAGTCTTTTTTTTTTTTTTTTATAGCGCAAAAAAATTAAAAATGCACAGGGGATCAAATAACACCGAACGAAAGCTCAATACGTGGAAAAAAAAGGGTGCAGCATTGCATGACCACGGAATTGTCAGTTAAAGTAACGCAGCGCCATAACACAAAAAAAAATGTCCTGGTCAGGAAAGGGGGTAAATCCTCAGGAGAGCAAGTGGTTAACATTTGCTAAAGCCTCAGCCTAAAGTTGGCCATAGATGGATTGAAATTCGACCGGTTCAGCAGGGACTGGCCGAACTTTGATCCATCTGGGGGCAGGATGGTTATACATAAGTCAATCTCACAACTGATTTTTGTTCAAGCAGCCTGTCAGGTGTTTTTTAGTTCAGTGCCCCTGGCTATAACTGGCCGGGGGCGGACTGACCATTTGGAAACTCGGGCACTGCCCGAGGGCCCGGGGTCAGTAGGGGGCCTCATGAGATGCCCCTGGTACCTTTTTCATAGGCTTTTTTGAGTTTGGGCAAGGACACAGGGGCCCCATGATCCCCTATAGCCCAGGGGCCCCATGAGTTGTCAGTCCGCCCCTGTAACTGCTATTACTGATCATTGTATTCTGACAGCGGGGAACTCTCCATGTAGTCAGAAAATAACAGTTCCATGGGATGTATTCCCCCATCATCATCGAGTGTATTGATGATGCAATTTGGGCAATCGCTGGTTGAATTAAAAAAAAAAAGTATAGTGTATGGACTGCCTAAGAAGGAAGATTTGGTCATACAGCTTATCTTCAAATCAATAATACTGAAAAGAAATATCTGATCTGTCTGATCAATCATATTGTATAAGGAATAGTTAGTTGGGACTGTCCACAGCAAGCACAGAAATTCATTATCTGTTCCATTTGTTTTAGCTGAATCTGAGACCCTCATCAACTGCGTATGATCTTTATCCATCCAATGGTAGTTCTAGAAGTTCTGCTGAAACTTAGAATGACAGAGAATGGCGTACTCCTTGTCCAGTTTGTTAAACCTCCATGACAGTTGGTTTGTTTAATATACAGAAATGGCTGCAAAACTGGTTTTCCAGTAGAATGGAATATTATTCTTGGCAGATCGACATTAGCAATAGACGTGAGGATGGTGAGCAGCAGAGGCCTTGTGACATCTGTTTAAAATCTCTTACATCACTAGAGGGAAACAACAAAATATAAAAAAAAAACTGTTTTAAATAGTGATTGTTTGGAATTTATGGGGGTCGTTAAAGGACCAGCCAACCAAGAAGTCTCATTTTAGGTTTTTGATTGAACTTGGTGGGAGGAGTAAGTCCCTGGCCTCTTTTAAGTCTTGGATATTCCAACTATGAGACCTCTTTATCATTTCCCAAATCTAAAATCTTTTTCTGTCAACCTAGGAACTTTGGGTGTCCCAGCCTAGCTGTTTGTATTCTATCTCGACCTGTTGCATTTTGCTTAATATAATAAAAACCTAAACAAGAAATTGTCTCATAATTGTTAATGGTACACAGTGCTTTGGTAAACTAAGTGTATTCAATTTAGGGTTCAAAACTTCTTTATCCCTCCAGCATGTTACTAAAAACAAAAATATACCATTTGGACAGATTATTTGGACAACTGACCCTATATGAGCTTATTGGACATTCTATTCTAAAACCATAGTAGTTGCCCCTTTGGGGCTATAACAGCCACCACCCTTATTATTATTATTATGGAGCATGTTGGTGGGAATCATGATGGTTGGAAAGGAAACAGCTCTCACATATGTATTTTATCTATGTATTTTGCTGTTTGCCTAGAGTTCACCCCCTATTGGACACACCTGAACTCAATCATTTGAAAGGGTGTCCGCATAGATTTGGCCAAATAATGTAGGTGTGATGGTCAGGTGTCCAAGTGTAATCAACAAAAATGAGCTCACGGTCATCTTAAGAGTCCAGAAAATTATTTATTGTTCATAAAAATTGAGACATCAAAAAGATAAAAGGTAACAAACTCATTTTCTGGGGCCAATCAATCCTTCTTCATCAGGGCTTGAATGAGCAGTGGTTAAAGCAGAAGTAAACCCCTCTCAATCAACATTAACTATTTTTAATCCTTATGCTGCTAGCAGTAGTAAATAGATAGAAATGTATATTATATTTACTTGTTTTAAACTTTTTTTTTAATTTCTTCAATTGCTTCCTGGTTTCTGCCCTAGGCTAAAATGATGTCATACATCCCAGGAGTCTTCATGGGCATTTTTATTCTTTCTTCTGGAGGAGGGGAGGAGGAGCTTTCTCAGCTTAGCACACCCTCCTCTCTGCATTCCTGAGCTAAGGGCAAGTGGATTCTGGGAGGTAAATGCTACACTGATCATCTGCCCTTACTGATGATGGCCATGGCTAAACAGGGGTTTATTTTTCAAAGTGATTTCTCAAGAAAATAAAACATGTAGACCTAGAAGGATGGATGAGTTTGCTTTGAATTATAACAATTAATTTAATTTTCAGTTTGTGGTGATACAGTTCAGATACAGTTTAGTTCCACTTTAAGCTTTCTGTAGGACTCTAGCTGAAACACCCCAGAGGGCATAAACCCGAGCAATGGACTTGCGTGGAGGAAGTCAGGTAGTGTCAAGCAATAAATTAATATGGACTCTCAAGACGACAGCCTGTCTCTCTTTGTTGGTTTCACCTGCATTTGTCAGTTGAGGCCATCTCACAGTTTTGTGGTAGAGCTGCCAAGGTCTAATCATCAAGCATTACACCCTGATGGACTGAATTAAATTTGTTGTAAACCCTCACATATACCCTGTAAAGTTACTGACAGAGCTGAAACAAAACCTCATAATTACAAAAGTACATAAGTTGTACCTGACATATAAAGCCATTCATAATACTGCCCCAAATTTCATCACCGATCTTGTCTCTAAATATCACCCAAACCGTACTCTCCGCTCCTCGCAAGACCTCCTACTCTCTAGCTCCCTTGTCTCCTCCTCCCATGCTCATCTCCAGGACTTCTCCAGAGCTTCCCCCATCCTCTGGAACTCCCTACCCCAATCCATCAGACTATCACCTACTCTGCTCACCTTTAGGCGCACTCTGAAAACCTATCTCTTCAGGGAAGCCCACCCCACCCTCAGCTAATACTGAACTCCTCTACTCTTCCAACCACTCCATCCCCCACAGCTATTTCCTCCTGTACCACTATCCCCTCCCTCCTAGATTGTAAGCTCCAAGGAGCAGGGCCCTCGAACCCCTCTTGTATTGAATTGTATTGTTACTGTACTGTCTCGTGTACTATCTCCCACCATAATGTAAAGTGCTGAGCAAACTGTCGGCGCTATATAAATCCTGTATAATAATAATAATACCTGTTTATATACACTGTCTGTACCCTAAATCCATTCAAAGTACAGAATATACACAGGATCTCTGAGCTCTGAAAAACGGGGTGGGGAGCTGAAGTTACACCAGTGAGGAGAGCTCTGAGAACTGATTGGAGGGACAGGATACACCACCCTCCACACAGCACACAAGAACAGAGCTGAGGCTGTCAATCACAGACTGTGCCCTCCCCTGTCACCATTTTTCTCATGGTGTCAGGAAAACCCACCAGAAGTGCAGATAGCAGAGAAATGAGGCAGTAGACAAAATTGGCACTTAGTGCTTTGGATTGAGACAAAGCACACACTATAAAGGGATATCCTTTGTTCATATTTTATGTCTGAGGTTGACAACCACATTACATTTTGTGTCCGGCTCCCCATAACCACTTCTTCTAGGTATCCAGGTGTATCAGTTTTGGTGGTCTGATCCTTTAAGATTTTTATAAACCTTGATCATTCAGTCGAATCTTTGTTACATCAGACAAAACATAGTTCTGTTAATAGCTACCTTAAACCCCAATAGTTTCTGTGATTGTTAGACAAAAGCATTCTAGCTGTTCTCAAGCATTCCGAGATGAGTTTACAGTAATTGGCACTTTTACAAGACAAGACTTTCCCTTTTCTAAGATTAGATTGACTCCAGCCAAATCAGCCTTATCATAAATAACACTGATTACAAAATGTATATTGCTTGTCTACATGTAAATGTGGCTTCAATAAATGTAATTACAGGGATTTAGCTGTAAAAGGCTGCTGGATAAAGATCTAAAGATTGTGTCAGGGAAACTTTAAATCTGGATTATCTCGGAAGATTCTTTTTTTCTGGCAGCTAGGAAGTAAATTGGTCTGTGATAATTAAAGGGTCTGTGCTATCAAGGTGAACAGTTTTCTGATGTGTTCCTTATTGTTTCAGACAATCCGATCACACTTTAATATCATCCTGACAGTTGTTTATATTAATGCTTTTACTGACAGTTCTTCAAGAGTTACCAGATTGTTCTTCATCCTCGACTGCACATTATCCTACTTTTTTTCTCAGTTCTAACTACAATATTTATTTTCATTTATTTCCCTTATTATTGTAGAACAACTGTGCGGTGTTCTGCAACTACAAATTTTTGCATTCATATATGCGTCCTGGTCTCTCTCTTACTAGGGTCAAGTAAGTCAAGGTGGGTGGAGCTGGGAACTGAGATGCAGATATGTTGCTGGAGATCCTGAAAGTGGTAAGAAGCTGACAGGTGAATAAGTTAGCCAGCATTTATCCAAAAATCACCGTATTTTTTGCTCCATAAGACACACTTTCCCCCCCCAAAAAAATGGGGGAAAATGTCTGTGCGTCTATGGAGCGGCCTGCCTGGTATTCCCGCTGATGCCTTGTTAGAATACCGGCTGGCCGCTCGGCTCTACTGTGCAGAAGAACCTGCTCCTCGCTCCTACCTGTTCCTTGGTCCAGCGGTGTCCTGCTTGCACCAGACGTCTTCTCTCCCCGGCGCCGGCATCTTCAGTGTGGGCACCTGGGTATGACAGCTTGCGGCTGCACAGCTGGTTGTCCACTGCGCATGTGCGAGAAGCACTGCATTTTGTGAACTCTGCGGAAGTGGGAGCGGGTACCTGTCAAATTCGAGTACCTGCCCCCCCCCCCGCTCTCCGAAGGTCTGCAGTCTCTGGTCATCTCCTGCACTATGTCTGCAGTATCTGGTCATCTTCTGTACTATGTCTGCAGTCTCTGGTCATCTTCTGTACTATGTCTGCAGTCTCTGGTCATCTCCTGTACTATGTCTGCAGTCTCCATCTTCTGTACTATGTCTGCAGTCTCTGGTCATCTTCTGTACTATGTCTGCAGTCTCTGGTCATCTCCTGTACTATGTCTGCAGTCTCAGGTCATCTCCTGTACTATGTCTGCAGTCTCTGGTCGTCTCTTGTACTATGTCCGCAGTCTCTGGTCGTCTCTTGTACTATGTCCGCAGTCTCTGGTCATCTCCTGTACTATGTCCGCAGTCTCTGGTCATCTCCTGTACTATGTCTGCAGTCTCTGGTCATCTCATCTCCTGTACTATGTCCGCAGTCTCTGGTCATCTCCTGTACTATGTCCGCAGTCTCCGGTCATCTCCTGTACTATGTCCGCAGTCTCCGGTCATCTCCTGTAATATGTCTGCAGTCTCCGGTCATCTCCTGTACTATGTCTGCAGTCTCCGGTCATCTCCTGTACTATGTCTGCAGTCTCTGGTCATCTCCTGTACTATGTCTGCAGTCTCTGGTCATCTCCTGTACTATGTCTGCAGTCTCTTGTCATCTCCTGTACTATGTCCGCAATCTCTGGTCATCCCCTGTACTGTGTCTGCAGTCTCTGGTCATCTCCTGTACTATGTCTGCAGTCTCTGGTCATCTCCTGTATTATGCCCGCAGTCTCTGGTCATTTCCTGTATGTCTGCTGCAGTCCATTGGTTCAGAATATTTTTTTTCTTGTTTTTCTCATGTAATATCTAGGTGCGTCTTATGGAGCGAAAAATACGGTATATCGATTTTGTTAGACTGACCCTTTAAAAAAATACCTCTGCCTTTTCTGTTTGCAATGTGAGAAAAGCTTAAAATGGAAAAAAAAAATGGAAATAAAGGGTGGCCATACATTATGCAATTTTCTTTCCTTTTATCACAGGCTGAAGAAAAAAAAAAAATCGCTCAATTCCTGTGTTGATGGGGGAATCCCTCCCACTGTGCTATTGTATTCTGGCACTGAGAGATTAGCCCATAGTCAAAATACAAAGATTACTGCTGGCAGCTATATCTAGCATCAGTGATTGTACGAAAAAAACTCGACAGGCCGGTTGTACTGAAGTTGATCAAGATCAATTTCAGTACAACCAGCCTGCCCATAGATAGACTAAAATTCGACCAGTTCCTGCTGAATCAGCCGAATTTCAGTTCCAACAGTCCGACGCCTATAAGGCTCCTTGCCGGCTCCCCAGGTGTTTTGTCTGTTTTGATTGGCTGGCATGGGATGATATCACTTCCACACATGTGCAGCTCAGTGTACATTCTGCAGAGTGATATTGCGTGTTTCTTCTGCAATAAAAAACCTTCCTGTTCACAACTTCTTATTTTTTACATTTAGTTTTTCTTTAATAACCTGAGGAACATCAACTTCAATTTAAACCCCCACCCGGAGTAGAATCCTAATCCTTCTCACCCCCTAACTGTTATATAACCCCCCCCCCAAAAAAAAACCCCTATCTGACTTACCTGTAGCCAGGGTTCCATGGCGATCCAGATCTGAGTTTTTTCTTTACTTCTTGGTTTGAGTTCTTCTATGGGTGTCTGCCTGACATGGATACTTCCTATTGGATGAGCTGCCTCAGGAGAAAAGCGAACTATGCCATCACAAGGGGGTGGCATGGGACCAGCAATCCCCGGGGCCATCGTAGCTCTGGGTCTCCCATCTGAACCGGTGGCAGTGAGGGACCTAGATGAAGGATTTAGCTGAGCATATCTGGCTTTACAAGGTATTGGGGAAAAAGACTAATAGGGCGGGTTAGAGGTGGGTGGGAAGCAAGGCTTGTCAAAAATAGTTTTTAAAAAAAATCCTCAGGTGATTTGATGCAGCGCATTGGGAGGAGCCAATGACATCAAGCTGTATACCAGAAGTGTGCAGTTCGCCATCTTGTTGGAGGTTTTCAATATTGGAAGGCTGACATACTGCAGTGCACCAGATTAAGCAGTTGCCCTCGGCTCTATAGCAGAAATACTGCTACAGGACAGCACGGCTGCGCAAAGTCATGTATATATGTGATTTGCATTTCCAGGTAGGGGTGTGCGCCCCTATTGGCTGCTAGGGATGTCAATCACCGGGTCCCGGCTGGCGATTCCCCTCTGGGACTCGGTGATCATCGGCAGAGTGAGTCCCGGACGGGAATACTTCTTCAATACTGTCACTTTCACCCCCCCTTCCTGCTCAGGCCAATTTTTAGCTTTCAGAGCACTTTGATTGACAATTGCACTGTCATGTAACACTGTACCCATATGAAATTTTGTATCATTTTTTGAGACAGATAGAGCTTTCTTTTGGTGGTATGTAATCACCACTGGGTTCTTAAATGTCTGTGAAACAAATGAAAAAAAGACCGAAAATGATGTTTTTCTTAATTTCTGTTATAAAATTTAGCAAATTAATAATCTTCTTCACTGATGTGCGTTGATGAGGCTGCACTGATGGGCAATGATAGACTGCATTTATGGGCACTGATAGGCTGCACGGATGGGCATCGATGAGGCTGCACTGATATGCACTTATAAGGCTGCACTGATGGGCACTGGTGAAGCTGCACTGATGGGCATTGGTGAAGCTGCACTGATGGGCAACAATAAGGCTGCACTGAGAAGGCAGCAGTGATGGTCACTAATGAGGTGGCTTTGATGAGGCTGCACTGATAAGGTAGCAATGATGGGCTCTGATAGTCTGATAGGTGGCATGAATGGGCACTGCTATGCTGTACTGATGGGCACAGATAAGCTGCACTGATGGACACTAATAGGTTGCACCGATGGACACTGATTGGCACTGATGGGGCTGCACTGATAGTTGGGGAAGAACACAATGATTATTACTAGTGGCTTTAACCACTGGCAATAATTACAGGATATAAATCCAACATGCTGGTTGTATCCAAGTCAATCAATGGATAGACTTGAGTACAATTGCCTGTCCATTGATGGATCGACTTGGGTACAACCAGCCTGCCCATAGATGGATCGAATCTCATCCTGTCCCTGGTTAACCGGCCAAGATTCAATCCATCTATGGCCAGCTTAAGGACCTTATCAGTGTGCTGATGTTCATTTATAGTCCAGTGACCTAGCTTCAAGCAGGAAGGTAACATGGGAAGCTTCCGAGCTGTGGACTTTTCATAGCAGTGTCACCCTCTACGTTGTGGCAGACCTGTGTCAATCACAAGAATGGCTGAAGAGAACTGAACAATAGGCAGCCAAAACAGGTGACATACCAATATTTTAACTGTACATTTTTTCTGTTTGGCCAAACATCTGCTTTAACATTTATTTAGGATTTTTATTGAGTCTGTATCTTCTTTCCATTTGCTTTATTGAGCACTTTTAGACAAGCAAAGTTAAATACTTTCTAATTACAAGCAGAGAGCATTTTTCCTTTAAGCTCCATTTTCAGTGCCAAATAGCCAAGGGCAATCCCTATTCTGTGTCACACAGATTACCGAGTAGAGCTCACACAAGCACTCCCAGTGACTGCATTATGTTTTCTTAAGCTTCATTAGTAAAAAAATGGAAATACAAGATCTACAGTACCACTAATGATTTGTAGCCTATTTATTTTTATAAACTATTGGCCACAAGGCCTCTGGGGAATACCACGAGTAACAAAGAACTATAGTTAGCCCGTTTCACTAATAGCTTATCTTTACCCATTTAATTCAGGACAATTACATACGTTCACTTTTGGTTCTACATGTGACTATTTGTCTGTGACTCCTCTGATTTACAGAAATGCTGTTTGCCAAGAATATGTGCAGTCAATAAATACTAGCCATGTTGTTCCCATGACCAAACGTCAAAGGTTTCTCATAGAAGTTTTTTCTTTGTACCGAATGAGATATTTTCATTGAGGTTCCAGAAACTCTTTTGATAAGGCTTCTTCTATGTGAAAGAACTTTTTCTTTGCAGGTCCGTTGCTTTAAAACTGGGGCCGTAATAAATTTTGTACAGGCGCAGAGGGGTGCATAGTTGTCTTATTGTGCTAAAAATATCAGGGCGATCGGTTCATACAAGACTCATGGTTTATTTGTGTTAGTGGGGCCACACAGACTATGCTCGATGTTTTGGCTAAGGGCGTACAAAGACAACATTTTTCAAATAAAAATTATTTATTGTCTTTTAGGTTCAAAACAAGACGGAGTTTGAAAATATTTACAAATTACTTCTCAGACATCTTGCACACCATGGACTGCCCTCGAAATTAGATCCAGGCACCCCATTAACAAAATAAATGTAATGAAAAAAATGTTAGCAGAAATAAAAATCTCCTTCTTATTTTGTCCCAACAAATATGCTGGATGTTCTGGATGACATTGGTTGACTCTGTAAGCATCACACTTCCATTTCCCACTTCCACTGCAAGATACTCCTACCATGCACCAATATACTCCAAGTGGCTAAATAGTTATTTCAAATCTTTATTTACATACTGAGAGGGTAATTCAAAAGATAAACTGTTCACATAACCTGAAACAGGGTTGGTCACCCCTTGAGAGGTGGAGATCTACCTGGACAACATGAAAGACTGCTGTACATAGCTTCCCATTTATTCACAAACTGAAGCATAGTAGAACGTCAGTAAAGGAACAGTCACCATCACTTCTTTGAAGATCAAAATATCCACATGACTTTATATGTGTAACTTCAAATGCAGCCAATATTTCCGGCAGCATAGAGTCAGTTGAGTGTTGGTGATTTGTCTTCCTTTACTTTCATTAAGTTATCAGTCTGCTGCAGGCAGGAGGAAACATTTCTTCAGTCTCCTCTCCCCTTGGAGTGGCAGGAACAGGGGCTGATCTGAGTCATCTGTAAACCATCAGCTAAGTTCAGAAGTAGATGCTGAGCTTGGATGATGCCTGAACAAGAATGGCACCATGTATCTGGGGGGGGGAGGGGGCAAGCAGATAAACATATTTTAATGGGGAGTGCTGTGATCTCTGTGAGAGGTTATATGGACCAGGGGCGGACTGACCATTTGGAAACTCGGGCCCCATGATCCCCTATTGCCCAGGGGCCCCATGAGTTGTCAGTCCACCCCTGATATGGACCTGAGAGTGTTAAAAGAAATATATCTGATGCAAGGTTCACTTACAAAAATGGATCATGTGAGTCATTATGGTTCTTCTCTCTTGAGAAGAGGAGATTGAGGGGGGATATGATCTCCATGTATAAATACATCAGTGGTTTATATAGTGAACTCGGTGTGTAGAGCTATTCCCCCTGAGGTCATCACAGAGGACAAGGGGGCACTCTTTATGTCTGGAGGAAAATAATTTAATCTCCAAACACGGAAAGGTTTCTTCACAGTGCGAGCTGTGAAAATCTGGAATATACTCCCTCAAGGGTTGGTTCTGGCCAGCTCAGTGGATTGCCTCAAAAAAGTCCTGGATTCTTAGATACACAGAATATAACTGGATGCTAACATT